AAATAAGTATTTATATTTGTGTACAAGCTGTTTAGATTGTCAAAAAGCCTGTGTTTTTAGGGTTGTTAATGAAGTTTGTGTACTCAGACCAGTAATATTTGGGGTCACAAGTTCTTGCCATGAATATTTTGTGGGTCAGAAGATAAAAAGTTTGGGAACCACTGTGCTAAATCACTCGTTCACAAGAACAAATCTGATCGTACAAGGCTGCAGTTCCACTTCTAACCACTAGTGGCGCCAGTGAGTCACACAGGAAAGTCCAGCATGAAGCAAGCTCACACAAGTCTTTCCATTTGAACAATCCTGCGGGAAAAAAAAGTTTTTACTGACAACGGTGGCTGGATTTTCTCACATATTGTGTTTTATTTATGTAAACAATCATGTAAAATTGATAAGAATAATTTATTGTGCAAACTTTTACAAGTGTTTGAACACGTGTGACTGATTAAATATATAAACCTTATACAAACTGAGGATTTGTGTGAAATCATGTTGAACAAATACTGTGGCCCCTTTCTGGCCCCTTACACTGAGAAATATCCACTGGAACCATCAGATGAACAGTTTCCTCACGTCTCTGTGGTGCAGCGTGCAGTTTGGGAACCCCACAAAGCAATGACCTCATCCTCCAACATCCTGGTTACCGTGGAGACAAGTCTTCCTGCGGGTGTTGATAAAGGTCAGAGCACTTCTTTTACAGAATGTCAACAATCAGTTACTAAATGACTTTTTCTGCTCAACTCGACCTTCATCAGGTTCTCAACAAACAGGCTTTAAATATCTGCAGCAGCTTTAAAAAAAGTCCTTGAGTTGATTTCACAATTACAGCTTCTCATTCACGAACGTGTGTGTGTGTGTGTGTGTGTGTGTGTGTGTGTGTGTGGTGATTTCTCTGCTTTACAGATGAATACCTCATGAAGCAGGAGATGGATTTTAATGTTGAACATAATCGTTGAATACCTCTGCAACTTTTTGAGTCAAACTGATTTAAAATGGCCACCGCAGCAAGACCTGAAAGACAAAAATGTCTCAAACTGTTTTACAGACGTTGAGCTAAAGTGTGGTGGCTGAGAGTCTGGAGCTAATCAGGGCCATAAGTTTTGTTCAAC